CAGCCTCCTCCACAACTACATGATCTGGAACCTGGTGCGGAAAACCAGCCCCTTCCTCGACCAGCGCTTCCAGGACGCCGAGGAGAAGTTCATGGAGGTGATGTACGGGACGAAGAAGGTGAGTGCCAGCAGCGCCCCGAACTGTGTTATGCACACATATATTTTAAGCTCAGCCGTGAGGCTTCATCCCTCTTGGCGCTCTTGCAAAGTCCCCACCATGGTGCATGGGAAGGTTTTGGGGTCCCACCAAAACCTGCATCTTCCCGGGGCTCACGGCGGATTTCTGGCCCCACACAGACTTGCCTCCCGCGCTGGAAGTTCTGCATCAGCGACACGGACAACAACCTGGGCTTCGCCCTGGGGGCCATGTTCGTCAAGGCCACCTTTGCCGAGGACAGCAAGCAAGTGGTGGGTGCCCCAGACGCGTCCCCGCAGGAGGGGGTCTGGGGACTCCCCGCTTCTGACACGGCTTTCGCCCAGGCAGAGGAGATGATCGCTGAGATCAAGACGGCCTTCGAGGAGAGCCTGGAGACGCTGCAGTGGATGGACGAGGAGACCAGGAGATCGGCCAAGGAGAAGGTGAGGGATGGCGGCGGAGCCGGGCGCTGGTCCCGTCCCACCCTGCGCTCTGCCAAAGGCTGCTCCCTGCTCCCCTCCAGGCAGACGCCATCTACAACATGATCGGCTACCCCAAGTTCATCATGGACCCCAAGGAGCTGGATAAAGTGTTCAACGACGTGAGCCGCTCTGCAGGGCGCCGGCGCGGGCCGAGGTGCCCCCACCGCCCTCCCGCGCCCGCGGTCACCGCCGCTCTGCTCTCCCTTGCAGTACGAGGCCGTGCCCGACCTCTACTTCGAGAACGTCATGCAGTTCTACAACTTCTCGGCCAGGGTCACCGCTGACCAGCTCCGGAAACCGCCCAACCGGGACCAGTAAGTCCCGGTCACCACAGAGCCACCTCCCCTTGGTGGCCAGCGGGAACATCTCAAAGTCTTCTTGGTGGAGGGCTGTGATTTGGCCATGTGGGGCAAGTCCCCCCCGATGGTTTCCAGGCGCTGGGATTGTTTGGGAGAGGCAGTTACACTGGGGGAGAGCAGCTTTCCGTGGAGCTGCCGCCGCACAGGGAGAGCCAGCGCCAACCCGGGTCCTCATGTGCCTGCAGGTGGAGCATGACGCCGCCCACAGTCAACGCGTACTACTCACCCACCAAGAACGAGATCGTCTTCCCCGCCGGGATCCTCCAGGCCCCCTTTTACACCCGCGCCTCTCCCAAGTAAGAGCCTGGCGACGCTGCGGGAGAAGAGCCGGGCTGGGAAAGCTCAATTCCCAAACGTCCTCCCGTTCCGAGCCCGGCAGGGTGATGCTTTCCCCGTGCGGGTGTGACTGCGGGCTTCACTTTGGAGCTCTGAAGCCAGCGTCACCCTCTTGCAGGTCACTGAACTTCGGTGGCATCGGCGTGGTGGTGGGCCATGAGCTCACACATGCCTTCGATGACCAAGGTAAGACCAGGACGGTTGGCTACGGTGGTGGTGGAGGAGCTGGTCACCGGCTCTTTGCCGATGGTCTCGCTCCTCGTAGGTCGGGAATATGACAAGGACGGGAACCTGCGGCCGTGGTGGAAGAACTCCTCGGTGGAGGCCTTCAAGCGGCAGACGGAGTGCATGGTGGAGCAGTACAGCAACTACACGGTCAACGGCGAGGCCGTCAACGGCAAGCACACGCTGGGCGAGAACATCGCCGACAACGGGGGCCTCAAGGCCGCCTATCGGGTAGGACGGCTGGCTGGGGTGCTGTGGCATGGGGTGGCGCATGGTGGCCCTGACGCCGCTCTGCTGCCCGTCCTCCAGGCCTACCAAAACTGGCTGAAAAAGAACGGCGAGGAGGAAACGCTCCCCACCCTCGGCCTCACCAACCACCAGCTCTTCTTCGTGGGCTTCGCGCAGGTGGGTTGCCGTGATGCCAAGGTGGGACGTGGGTGGAAGGGGTTTCCTTGGGAGAGAGAGAGAGATGTTGGATGCCTCCAAAGATGCCACATGGTGGCTGGTGGTAGCTTGTGGGTGAGCTGGTGGGTGGTGAGGAGCAGCTCATGGTCAAGCTTGGGTGGTAGTAGTTGGTGGGTGGCTCAGCATGTACTTGGGTGCTGGTGGCAGTGGCTTGTGGGTGAGCTGGGTAATGGTGGTGGTGGCACATGGACAAGATGGGTATCAGTGGTGGCTCCTAACGGGCGAGCTGGGTGGTGGTTTGGTGACTCGAGGGCGAATTGGATGGTAGTGGTGTTGACTTATGGGCGAGATGAGTATCAGTGGTGGCTCCTAACGGGCGAGCTGGGTGGTGGTGGTGGTTTGGTGACTCATGGGTGAGCTGGGTGGTGGCTTGCTGACTCGCGGGTGAGTTGGATGGTAGTGATGTTGACTTATGGGCGATAGGGGTATCAGTGGTGGCTCCCCATGAACAAGCTGGGTGGTGGTGGTGGCTCACGGGTGAACCGGGTGACGCTGGTGGCTCACGCTCAAGACGGGCAGCAGCGATGGTTCCTCCGGGGGGGTCTCGGCTCGCACGAGGGGCTCATCACCGACCCGCACAGCCCCTCGCGCTACCGCGTCATCGGCACCGTCTCCAACTCGCGCGAGTTCGCCCAGCACTTCGCCTGCCCGCCCGGCTCCCCCATGAACCCCCCCAAGAAGTGCGAGGTCTGGTGATGGGCGCGTGCCCCGGGCCGCCGTCCCCGCGCGCCCCCGGCCTTCCCCGAGGCTCAAAACCACTTCTCCGTGCAACGAGCCGCCCGCGGTTCAACCCACTGTGAAACGCCCTCTCCTCGCTCCCGGAGTGACTCTGAGCTATATTTTTCTGTATATTATTTTTCCTGTTCCAACGTGACCAGGCGCCCGCGCAGCAAAGGCAGCGGGGCTGGAAAGCATCGAAAGCATCTCGAGATATATTTTTTTTTTCCAAAGCAGGGGGGGAGGGAAATATTTTTCTAGCATTGTGGAATACACTGGAAGAGTTCAGGGACAACACATTTTAAAAGTTGTTTTTTTTAAAAAAAATACAAAGGATTAGTATATTTATTACTTTATTTTTTTCTAAGAGCCGCAGCCTCCGCCACGGGAAGCCCCGGATGCAGCCCCCGCAGCCCCGTTTTTCCCGGAGGACCGTCCTGGGAAGCCGCTGATGGGGAAAGCGGGGCCGGGTGCCGGCTGGCTCGGAGCACGGCTTAGCTTTAATTTCCGAAGGCAAAGGGAAGAGGCCGATGTGCCAAAGAGCGCTCCCGCTCCGTGCCCGCTTCCCTGGCAGGCTCCTTTCTTTATATATTTTTTTAATTTGAATTTTTATTTCTTGGCAAAACCCCTTTGCCCACGAGAGCTGCAAGCCCCAAATGGGGGGAGAGAGCGACCGCTCTCCCCTCCGCGGGCAAGGGGCTTCCCGGGGGGCTTTAATGCTCTTCCTGCAGTTTTTTTTGGGAAGAAACCACTGCTTGGTGGTGGCGCCGAGGGTTTTTTTTTAAAAAAATATTTATATGTAAAAGCAGAGATGGAAGGGGGGGGGACTTTTTTGTAACTATTTTTTCATCTTTCAGTGTGAGGCTCCTTGTAATTGAAATAAATCCTTTCTACTGGTCCGAGGCTGGTGCCGAGGTGTTTTTGCCGCGGGCCAGAGCCGCGTGTGTCCGTGTGTCCGTCTGTCTTGCCCCTGTGTGGTCCCTATGGAGGAGACCGGCCCTGCCTTAGAGGGCGGTTGGGAGCAGCAAGGGAGCTTTTTTTTGGGGAAAAACAAGCTGGGAATGCGAAGGAAGAGGTGGAAGGGGCCAGGGGCCTCCGCTTCCCGGGCAGCAGGATGCAGCTGTGGCTGCCAGGAGCCCGCAGAGGGCAGTGGAGCCGAGGAAATCCCGGAGCGGGGCCTGGCATGCAGGAGAAGGCTCCGAGCGGGATGGTTTTGCTTTATTTTAATTTTATTTATTTATTTTTTCCCTGGAAACTGCTGTTTCTCAGTGCTGGGTGGCTGGGGGTTGCCTAAGCTGCAGGCTCGTGGTTGGCCAAGTTGTCCCACGTTGTAGGGCCCGTGCTTGGAGAGGTGGCGGTGACAAAGGGCGACAAGTGAGGGGTGTGGGGGTTGGGGACACGGGGGCAGCCCTGGG